GATAAAAATATATTTTGCGATATATTTTGGTTATTGTCATATGATGAATATATATTTGCCATTAGTTCGTTTTCTTTCCATGTCTAAAAGGGATATACATTTGTTATTAATGCAATAAAACCATATTTTCCATATTAACAAAAGATGAATATATATTTGCCATTGATGCATTTTTTCTATATTGTCAAGGGATGAATATACATTTGTCATAAATGAAAGAAATCTACTTTTCAGTGATGAAAATCTTTGGGGGTGTATTCAGCTGCCCCTCAAAGTCAAAGATTTAAAGGGCTTGGTGAGTAGAACAGGAGCTTATTCACATTACCTTCGCCAACTTCAATTTAAAGATTTAAAAGACATATTTCATATATCTGTCTTGAATGTCCATTTATGTAATTGCAATATTTAAATTGATAATGCAATGTCACGCCAATCAAAAGCCATTCAAAACACATTTCTCCAGTATTCTAACACGGAAAAATATCTATTTGTTTATCAGGTAGAGGTGTACGGAGAGTTGGCATGCTGTTGCAAGCACACAGGTCTGGACGAAACGGTACCAGGGGAGCATAAGCCAAATCTCACATTGGCAGACGAAAGACTCATAATTGGCCAAAAAGGTAATTATCATAACCGCCTATTTCTTGTGAAGAGGGTTAGATACTATACTTTTACATCCTATTTCTTCTAAAGGGGGTTAAATACTATATCTCTACAGCCTATTTCTTCAAAAGAGGGTTGGGTACTATACTCCTACAGCCTATTTCTATTAAAGGGGTTTAGATACTATACTGATACGGCCTATTTTTTTTAAAGAGGGTTAGATACTATACTGATACGGCCTATTTATTTTAAAGAGGGTTAGATACTATACTTCTACAGCCTATATTTTTAGAGGGTTAGATACTATACCTCTACAGCCTATGTCTTTTAAAGAGGGTTAAATACTGTACTTCTACAGCCTGTTTCTTTAAAGAGGGTTAGATACTATACTTCTACGGACTATTTCTTTAAAAAAATAGGTTAGATACTACTGGTTGTGAATGCATTGAACTTCCAAAGAATGTGTTGAAGATATACTGAATTTTCTCGTGTTCCTAGTGGTGGAGAAGAACCACGGCCCTCTCAGCAAGGAGTTTTGCAAGACTGGATGCCCCGCGGGACTCCGGGCGGTGCTGTGGCATCAGGTTCTTGGACTCGAGGTCACAGATAAGGTTAGTCTTTACATTTAAAAACAAAAAAACAAAAATAAAATGCCAAAATAAAAACAAAAACAAACACAGAAAACTAAAGAAAGAGAGAAAAGAAAGAAAGAGAGAGCGAGAGAGAGAGAGAGAAAAACAGAAATACAAGTGTTTTATATCGGAGAAAAATTGTTTAAGAATCATGACTATGATATCCACTAATATTTGTTCGTCAACATATCAATAATTCCTCACGACTTCTTCCTCAGCACTGCAAATACTTTGACGAATTGAAGAAGAGGGTAGTGCAACATGAACTGCTTGTTGATAAACTGATCATGAAGGTAAGGGCTCAGTTGCGAGGTAAATAAGCGAAAACAGCTATTAGAAAGCGTGGTCGGTTTTGGGACAAATTAATTCTTAATGCTGTTTATTTATTTACGCGTTTTTTCATTTTGTTAAATGACGCAAGGCACGCGAAAAAAATTATTTCGTGAATGGTCCTGTTGTGTAAGCAGTATGCAATTTATTTTACAGTTGAGTAAATACTTTTTTTTCCCTTGCCAGTCATTAAACCTAAATATATCATTTTGATTCTCTTAACAGGATATACAGCTGACTGCTTCGAATGACGATCAGTATTTCGTGTTTGAAGACATCCTTTATCAGGTAAATACACCAAGTTAATTATATATTTGGTAAATAATCTCTTGCTGTCTGTCTATATTCACTTTCTCACAATGTATCTATCTATCTATCTGTTTGTCTGTCTGTCTGCCTATGTCTATCTATCTGTCTGTTTGTCTGCCTATCAATCTGTCTGTCTGCCTGTCAATCCATTTGCCTATCTATCTAGCTACGTATATACAGTATACTTAACACGTAGACGCACATACACACTCAAAACCCATATATTTATATCTAAGTCAGTTCCTACACCTGTCCCCATCTCCCTCCCTCCCTCTAACCTAACCTAACCTTACCTTACCTAACCCAACCCAACCTAACCTAACCCAACGTAACCTAAACTAACCTACCCTACCCTAACCTAACCCAACCTAACCTACCCTGACCTATCCTAACCTAACCCAACCTAACCTACCCTACCCTAACCTAACCCAACCTAACCTACCCTAACCTAACCTAACTTACCCTAACCTAACCCAACCTTACCTACCCTAACCCAACCTAACCGTACTCAGAGTTATCCTCTTTGTCCTCAGGTGCTGCTGTGCTTCTTCAGGGACACGGAGATGCTGAGCCACTTCGAACACAGCAGCGCCTCCCCCCCTCTGTCCGTCGCGAGGGGTCAGACGCCCTCGCCGGATACCCTCGTGGCATACCCTCCCTGTGGGATTATACCCTTCCATGGGTTCACGATGTATGGTAAGAGGTCGAGGAAATATCCGTGTTTTAAGAAAAGGGAAATAGTGGTTATAGGAAAAAGGAAATGTTCGTGTTCTAAGAAATGGGATATGTTCGTGTATTAGGAAAAGGGAAATGTCCATGTTTAAAAAGTGAAATGTTCGTGTTTTAAGATAAGGGCAATATCCGTGTTTATAAAGAGAAATGTCCTTGTTAAAAAAAAAAAATTACCGTACTCAAAAAAGGAAAAGAAAAAGTGGGAAAATGACCGTGCCTAAAAAAGGGGAAAATATCCGTATTTAAAAAGATAAAGACAAAAATCACACATGTCTCCTGGAATGCATCAGCTCCTCATGAACTTAATAGAGTCGGTATCATCGTCTGTAAAATAGTCTGTACTCACATATATGTACACATAAAGTACCTCACATATATATACACATAAACACCACACACATGTACACTTAAAGACACCTCACATATATGTACACATAAAGTACAAAGACACCACACAGTCACATATAAGACAGCACATATATGTACACTTAAAGACACCACACACATATATATATATATACACAGAAAGACACCTCACACATATGTACACATAAAAACACCTCCCATGTATGTAAAAATAAAGAAACCTCACATACATGTACACATAAAGACACCAAGAATACCATCCAATTTCAAATAAATTTTATCGTCCACAGCGGCTCCTCTCAGCTGTTTATACGAAGATCCCGTTCAACTCTATTTCACTTTCCGGGAAATGTATTGCCGTTATTGGTATCGTCTCCACGTGGTAACGAGCCATACCCAGGTAGGTGACAATTACCAGTCTAGAAGAAATTTTGCAATGGGTCTTATTTAAGGGTAATGGGAAAAGATGGAATCAGCTATAAATTCCAAATTTATTTACTGTTTTCTGTTTTCTCTTTAAAAGTTTCCACGTATTAAGTTATTTACTTTTTTCGGTTTCTCTTTAAAAGTTTCCACGTGTTAAGTGTTTGTTATATATCGTTTTATTGATTTTTTAATCCATTTACTTCTTTATTTTCTTCTTGACCTACAATCGAGCTGCCATATTCTTATCTCGCAAGACAGGGAATTCATTAAAGAATTTTATTTACTTTTTTTATTTCTTCCCAGGGCGCAGCAGCTTTGGCTCTTCAGTTTGAGCTCCTGTTGCAGAGTTCAGAAACACGACTCTGGCAACACTGCGCTGCGATGGGGATACAGCTGTAAGTTCAACATGAATTCTCTCTCTCTGGCTTGTGGTTATTGGGAAATCAGTGTTGCTATTTCTGTATTTTTTTATGTGTCTAAAATCATCTCTGGATTTCTCTCTCGCTTGCTCCCTCTCTCTCCCCCCCTCTTCTCTCTTCTCCCCCCCTCTCTCTCTATCTACATGAAATATTTTCTAACAAACAATATACATAATGATAGACACAACTATAGGCCTATCTTCCCATCGATTCCTCCCCGACAGTTTACCCATTGTATTCAAGTGGATCGTGCGCGGGTTCAGCGGGTATTTAATTCCCGATCAGCTGTTCATCCTGTGGGACGTCATCCTCTCCTGGGAGTCCTTGGAGGTCCTTCCTGTCCTCGCCCTCGCCATCGTGAGTTTCAGACGCGAGAACCTCATGGACGTCACCTCACAGCAGTCCGCGGATGTGAGTTCTGGGGTTTGGGGTTCAAGGGAGGAGGTGGAGGCGGGTGAGGGAAGGAAAGGGGGGGGGGTGTTTATGTGTATGTATACCCATGAACACATACAGATGCAAAGACACGCATGCACGTACACATATACATGCGTATATACATCCACATGGAAAGGTACAGATATAGGACAGGCACAGACACACACAGACATAGGCACAGCACAGATACAGACACACAGGCACAGGCAGGCACAGGCACACACACACACACACACACACACACACACACACACACACACACACACACACACACACACACACACACACACACACACACACACACATACATAGAATCATAACAAACTCAAATATACAAACACACCCTCCCCCTCACCTAAATATACACGCGCTCACACACACACACAAAACAACAACAACAAAGATACCTAAAAATTACTATTAGCGACACCCTTACCAAAGCATAAACTCTATTTCAATGCCGTTTCCCATTATTTCCAGGCCGTGCTGTCGGACATCACAGCGATCCGGGTGATTCCCCTTTTGAAGCTCGCCTTGGCTTCCGACAGAGGACGCGACCGGGAGACCTAAGGCTTTTAGAATATTATATCTTGTTATCTGATGTGTTGACAGTTTTGCTCACAATATTTTTAATTAGTTAAGGCCGTAGGAGTCGTTAGCAGGTTTGTGCAGTATATTTTTTTATTTAGTTGAGGTCCTAAAAGACGTTAACAAATTTGCTCAGTATATTTTTTAATTAGTTGATACCCTAGGAGACATTATAAGAATTGCCCAGTATATTTTTAAATTATTTGAGGCCCTAGGAATCGTTAATAGGTTTGCTCAGTATATTTTTTTTGATTAGTTGAGACCGTAGGAGAGGTTAACAGGTTTGTGCATTATATCTTTTTATTAGTTGAGGTCCTAGAAGACGTTAAAAGGTTCACTCAGTATATATATAATTATTAGAGACTCCAGGAGACATTAACAGTTTTGCTCTGTATATTTTTAATTAATTGAGACCCCAGGAGACGTTAAAAATTTCGCTTACTTGATTTTAGTGGTCGTGGCTATATTATTTTAGTACTTGACCTGTTCATTGTTTTCCTCGGTATATTTTGATGGGTGTGGTTAATTAGAAATAATTGAAGTTGAGGTTCCTTAATTATTATGATATTGAATATGTTCACCGTTTTTCTCATTAAATTTTAATGGTCGTGGCTATGTGGAAAGTATTAAAATTGAGGTTTCCTTAGCTATGATGATGTTAGTTGTGATAACTTTTTTCTTATTGTTAGCTATTTTCTTAGGTACAGTTCAGTGGCTGGAAAAAATGACAGCACAACGGCCAGTCTTCGCACCATACGAGAAAGTACAACTATACATAATTACCAAACAGATAATTGATATTTACCAGAATAATAATAATAATAAGAAAAAATTGACAGAGGACGCGACTTTGAGTCATCAGTTTTTCAATAGCTTTGTTCAAATTGTGCAATGAGTATTCCTTATACGGACTTGCTTATACTTAGAAATAAATACATGTCCATCAGTCTAGATATGCATAATAACCGGATAGATAGATGAATAACTATATTTCTCCGTGAGATACGTATTTACTTTTGCATATATGCATGTATGTATGTATGGATATTAATTGGACCTCGCACAAGGTTTACAAAACTAACCATTTATCTCTTGTTATATCACCAATTATTATTTTTATGGGATAGGCTAATTCAGTAGCAACTCGAGGTGCCATGGCATCTGTTTTGATAATTGTTCAATGAAATAATAACCATTAAGATAATTATTTTCCATCCTTTTTGAAAAACGAAGAGGCCAAAATGATCGACCATATTATCTATTGTGGTTATCTGTAAAAGAAACGAGACAAGGTCCCTTGTTATTATTCCGTGTTATGTAATATGTCAACTATTTTGTTCAATATCTTCTATGGGTATTTAGCGGATAGTCCTCGCGCCATATGAGAAAGTACAATTAAGAATATGAAATGTAGATTGGAAACACGCCCAAATATATTTATAGAAAGAACTAGTGTTGTTTGTAGGAAGACAATAAAGAAAAGGTCTAAAAATTGGTTTCTTATCCTCACCGCCATTGTAAGAAGCGATATAGAGATCGATTTATCGATAATCAGACATATACATCCACCCCCAGACCGCAATGACACACACACACACACACACATCACACACGCACACACACACGCACACAAACTGACTGATACACTCAAACACACGCATACACGCACTCACTCAAACACACACACACTCACTCCCCACCCACTAACTCAAACGCATACATACACGCACTCACTCACTTAAACACACTTGTTCACTCACCCACTCTCTACAACACACACATAAGCAACAGACACACATACACGCAACAGATACACACATGCAAAACACACACACAACTCTCTAAAGTGACATGTTCTCTACTTGCAAACGTAAGCACACCAACCCAAGTGTTTTCATATCGACAGCAGTGCCTTTGCAACTACAGTAATTTTCTTCTCTCTTGTTATCTCGACCACAGTTCTACTTTCAGCAAAGTCAGCGAGCCACACAACCCTAATCTGATCTTATCAACAGACTCGAAATGCATTCTGGTACCGTGATAGTGTAACTACAACTAACTATAACAATAGCGATGTATAACTAAGACCTCTGGGGATTCTGTTGCCGATAGATGGCGGTGGTATTTCCGTCGTGAGGATTTGTTGCCGATAGATGGCGGTGATATTTCCGTCGTGAGGATTTTGTTGCCGATAGATGGCGATGATATTTACGTCGTGAGGATTTTGTTGCCGATAGATGGCGATTGATATTTCTCGTGATTTTGTTGCCGATAGATGGCGATGATATTTACGTCGTGAGGATTTTGTTGCCGATAGATGGCGAGATATTTACGTCGTGAGGATTTTGTTTGCCGATAGATGGCGATGGTTTTCCCGACGTGAGGATTTTTTGCCGATAGATGGGCGATGGGTTTCCGTCGTGAGGTTTTGTTGCGATAGATGGCGATGTATTTACGTCGTGAGGATTTTGTTGCCGATAGATGGCGATGATATTTACGTCGTGAGGATTTTGTTGCCGATAGATGGCGATGATTTCCCGACATGAGGATATGTTCCGATAGATGGCGTGATATTTCCGTCGTGATGAGGATTTTGTTGCAATAATGGCGGTGTTATATCTTGAGATTTTGTTGCCGATAGATGGCAATGGTGTTTCCGTCGTGAGGATTTTGTTGCCGATAGATGGCGGTGATGTTTCCGTCGTGAGGAATGGCGGTGATTTCCGTCGTGAGGATTCTGTTGCGATAGATGCGATAGATATTTGTTGCCGATAGATGGCGGTGATGTTTCCATCGTGAGGATTCTGTTGCCGATAGATGGCGAAGGTGTTTCCGTCGCGATTTTTTGCCGATAGATGCGGTGGTTTCCATCGTGAGGATTCTGTGCCGATAGATGGAAGGTGTTCCGCGCGTGGATTTTGTTGCGATAGATGGCGGTGATGTTCCATCGTGAGGATTCTGTTGTGGCGAAGGTGTTTCGTCGCGTGGATTTTGTTGCCGATAGATGGCGAGGTGTTTCATCGTGAGGATTTATTTGCCGATAGATGGCGGTGATATTTTCGTGAGGATTCTGTTGCCGATAGATGGGTGTGTTTCGAGGATTTTGTTGCCGATAGATGGCGATGGTGTTTCCGTCGTGCGGATTCTGTTGCCGATAGATGGCGGTGATATTTCCGTCGTGAGGATTCTGTTGCCGATAGATGGCGGTGTGTTTCCGACGTGAGGATTCTGTTGCCGATAGATGGCGTGATATTTCGTCGTGAGGATTCTGTTGCGATAGATGGCGGTGATATTTCCGTCGTGAGGATTCTGTGCGATGGCCCGATGTTGCGATAGATGGCGGTGATATTTCCGTCGTGAGGATTTTGTTGCCGATAGATGGCGATGGTGTTTCCATCGTGAGGATTCTATGCGATAGATGGCGGTGATATTTCCGTCGTGAGGATTCTGTTGCCGATAGATGACGTGAGGATTGGCGATGTGTTGCGATATGGCGTGAATTTCCGTCGTGAGGATTCTGTTGCCGATAGATGGCGGTGTTTCCGACGTGAGGATTTGTTGCCGATATGATGCGTGTGTATTTCCGTCGTGGGATTCTGTTCCGATAGATGGCGGTGATATATTCCGTCGTGAGGATTCTGTTTGCCGATAGATGCGGTGATTTTCCGCGTGAGGATTCGATAGTTTGGTGATAGGGATTCTGTTGCATAGATGGCGGTGATATTTCCGTCGTGAGGATTCTTGTCCGATAGATGGCGGTGATATTTCCGTCGTGAGGATTCTGTTGCCATAGATTGGCTTGTTTCCGTCGTAGATTCTGTGCCGGATTTATGGCTTGATATTTCCGTCGTGAGATTCTGTTGCCGATAGATGTTTCCATCGTGAGGATTTTTGTTGCGTAGATGGCGATGGTTTCCGCGGTTGCGATTCTGTTGCCGATATAGATGCGGTGATATTTCCGTCGTGAGGATTCTGTTCTGATATAGATGGCCGTCGGGGTGTTTCCGACGTGAGTTCTGTTGCCGATAGATGGCGGTGATATTTCGCGTGAGGATTCTCTCTTGTGATAGATGACGATGGTTGTTTCGTCGTGAGATTCTGTTGCCGATAGATGCGGTGATATTTCCATCGTGAGGATTCTGTTGCCGATAGATGGGCGTGTGTTCCGACGTGAGGATTTGGTTGCGATAGATGACGTGACATTTCCGTCGTGAGGATTCTGTGCCATAGTGGCGTGATATTTCCGTCGTGAGATTCTGTTGCTGATAGATGACGATGGTGTTTCGTCGTACAGGATTCTGTTGCCGATAGATGAGCGTGATATTTCCGTCGTGAGGATTGCCGGATAGATGAGGATTCGTTGCCGATAGATGGCGATATTTCGTCGTGATTCGTGGCCCGTGAGGATTCTGTTGCCGATAGATGGCGGTGATATTTCCATCGTGAGGATTCTGTTGCCGATAGATGGCGATGGTGTTTCCGTCGTGAGGATTCTATTGCCGATAGATGGCAGTGATATTTCCATCGTGAGGATTCTATTGCCGATAGATGGCGATGATATTTCCAATCGTGAGGATTCTATTGCCGATAGAGAGTGTGAGGATTCGATGATGGCGATTTCCATCGTGAGATTCTATTGCCGATAGATGGCGATCGGGTGATTTCCGTCGTGAGGATTCTATTGCCGATAGATGGCGATGATATTTCATCGTGAGGATTCTTATTGCCGATAGATGGCGATGATATTTCCACGTGAGGATTCTATTGCGATAGATGGCGAATGATTTCCATCGTGAGGATTCTATTGCGATAGATGGCGATGATATTTCCATCGTGAGGATTCTATTGCCGATAGATGGCGATGATATTTCCATCGTGAGGATTCTATTGCGATATGGCGGTGATATTTCCTCGTGAGGATTTTGTTGCGATAGATGACGGTGGCATTTCCGTCGTGAGGATTCTATTGCCGATAGATGGCGATTGATATTTCCATCGTGAGGATTCTATTGCCGATAGATGGCGATGGTGTTTCCGTCGTGAGGATTCTATTGCCGATAGATGGCGATGATATTTCATCGTGAGGATTCTAATTGCCGATAGATGGCTGATATTTCCATCGGAGGATTCTATTGCCGATAGATGCGATGATATTTCCATCGTGGAGGATTCTATTGCCGATAAGATGGCGATGATATTTTCCATCGTGAGGATTCTATTGCCGATAGATGGCGATGAATATTTCCATCGTGAGGATTCTATTGCCGATAGATGGCGATGATATTTCCATCGTGAGGAGATAGATTCTAATGCCGATAGATGGCGATGGTATTTCCATCGTGAGGATTCTATTGCCGATAGATGGCGATGAAGGATTCTATTGCCGATAGATGGCGGATGATATTTCCATCGTGAGGATTCTATTGCCGATAGATGCGATGATATTTCCATCGTGAGGATTCTATTGCCGATAGATGGCGATGATATTTCCATCGTGAGGATTCTGTTGCCGATAGATGGCGATGGTATTTCCGTTGTGGAGATTCTGTGCCGATAGATGGGATAGTGTTTCCCTCGTGAGATTCTGTTTGCCGATAGATGGCAGTGATATTTCCATCGTAGGATTCTATTGCCGATAGAATGGCGATATGTTTCCATCGTGAGGATTCCATATCGTGACGTGAGATTCTATTGCCGATAGATGGCGATGATATTTCCATCGTGAGGATTCTGTTGCCGATAGATGGCGATGGTATTTCCGTTGTGGAATTTGTTGCCGATAGATTGGCGATAGTGTTTCCTCGTGAAGATTCTGTTGCCGATAGATGGCAGTGATATTTCCATCCGTGGATTCTATTGCCCTGATAGATGGCGATAGTGTTTCCATCGTGAGGATTCTATTGCCGATAGATGGCGGTGATATTTCCATCGTGAGGATTCTATTGCCGATAGATGGCGATGGTGTTTCCGTCGTGAGGATTCTGTTGCCGATAGATGGCGATGTGTTCCGTCGTGCGGATTCTATTGCCGATAGATGGCGGTGATATTTCCATCGTGAGGATTCTGTTGCCGATAGATGGGATGGTATTTCCGTTTGTGGAGATTCTGTTGCCGATAGATGGCGATAGTGTTTCCCTCGTGAGGATTCTGTTGCCGATAGATGGCGTGATATTTCCATCGTGAGGATTCTATTATAGATGATAGTGTTTCCATCGTGAGGATTCTATTGCCGATAATGGCGGTGATATTTCCATCGTGAGGATTCTATTGCCGATAGATGGCGATGGTGTTTCCGTCGTGAGGATTCTGTTGCCGATAGATGGCGATGGTGTTTCCGTCGTGAGGATTCTATTGCCGCGGTGAAATCGTGAGATGGCGTGGCGATATTTCCAGATTCTGATGAGTGATTCTGTTTGCCGATAGATGGCGAT